AAATAAATAAATAAATAAATAAAAGACTAGAGTGAGGGTTAGGCCAGGATTAGGTCCAGGTATATGACTAGTGATATAACTTGCACTAATTAGGGTTTGGTTGAGGGTTAGGATTAGGATTAAAGAGTCATGGGCCGGGAAGATAGCTCAGTAGAATAAATGCTTGCCTGGCAAGCACAAGGTCCTGAGTTCAATCCCCGGTACTGCAAAATAAATAAAATAATAGTAATAATAATAGTCAGGTGTGGTGGCACACACCTGTAATCCCATACCCTGGGAGGCAGAGGCATGAGGATCACTGTGAGTTCAAGGCTAGTCTGAATTACATATCCAATCCATATCTCAAAAAACCTCTGATTTTCCAGTATTTCGTGAAACAACTGCAATGATCAGGGAGGTGAGCAGCTGAGCAGTTGCTGACCCAGGCAGTGGGCTCTCCAGTCAACAGGTTTCCCATCACACTGGCGCCATTAATGTCCCAAGGGTAGGGGCCTGCGGGTTAGCTCAGTTGTTTAAAGCACCTGCTTGGGGAAACTCTGTCAGGCGCAGGGGCCCGCGGTTTGATCCCCAGCTGTTCATGCTGCACCAGACCCGCCCTTTAGGCAGCCTGAGACAGCAGGGGGAAAAAAAAAAAAAAGAATCCTTCACAATTTTTGAGATAGCTCTGCGGCATTAGCGCCTGCCTGGCAAGTGCAAGGTCCCAAGTTCGATCCATGGTACCACAAAAAAATTAAAATAAAATAAAATTCCTGGCGTATCAGCTTTTGAGGGGCCAGAGAAATGGCTCAGTAGAATAAGTGCTTGCCTGGCAAGTGTAAGGTCCTGAGTTCAATCCCTGGTACCACAAAAAAAAAAAAAAAAAGAAAAAAGAAAAAAAGAAAAAGGAATGTCCCATTGGTGTTTGGTCATTCCTGTGCAGCAGTTTACATCAAGCGGCCACGGGGCCCCAGTCATTTGTCCTGATCGTCCTTCCAGGTAGTCAGCCGAAGAACAGGCTCTGGCTTGTTTCCCCAGTAAGTTAAGATAAAGGAAACAGAAAACAACAGTGCACGTGAGAGGTGTGTGTAAACACAGGTAAAGAGGTGACCAGAGAGAGGAGGTTAATCATCTTAACCTGTCACACTGTCCACAGGGACTAGAACAAAGTTTTATTTCCACTTTTGGAACAAGACAAAGCTCCAACAGAAAACTGGGATGTTAACTCGAACGGTGAGGGTGAGAAGAGATACGTGCTCATACACCTGGAGCAGAGTGTGACAAGAAATTAAAGGTGAGAGATGAAGAGACGAAGGTTAAAATATAAAGGGTCAAGCAGAGCGTGATGGTGCAGGCCTGCCACCCCGGGAGGCTGAGGCAGGAAGATCACCTGGAGTTTAAAGCCAGCCTGCACTACACTGCGAGACCCGGTCTCAAACAAAGGGGGTCATTTTAGGCGGATCCACTATCTAGGGTAGTTTGAACCTCACCAGGGGGACAATGGAGTCACTGAGAAATTTTAGGCAAAGGAAAAGAATGGTCGTCGAGACTCAGGAAGTTGTTTGTTCACACAGGCAAGCTACAGAACCAGAAAACGAATACTTCTAATTCCTAATGAATTAATTACAACGTCTAGTAGCCCGAAGTGTATGGCTGACTCGCCGATCACACACACAGCGTGCGTTTTGGGGACACTTCGGAAACGGCCTCTGCGCTTCAACCGGAAACAGAACTGATCGCTGTGGACACCGCCTAACCGCCGTTGGGAACGAAATTAAGTCCGGAAGGTCGCTACACCGGAAGAGGCCAGGCTGTTTCCGGTAAAAACCCGACCGAGCAGAGGACAAACCTCCAGAGTCCCAGCGGTAGCCCTGCGCGCTCGGTTCCGCGACATCGTGCTCGCGCCTTTGCGCAGGCTCATGAAAAGGCGTGCGCGCTCCCGCTCGGCACTGCGCTCGCAGGGTAAAGAACCTCCCGCGCTGGAACGCGGGATTAGAGTCTGTGAAACTACAAATCCCAGCATGCCTGCCCCTCATATTAGTGCTGGGTGTGGCTCCCCAGGATAGGATAAGCAGCTTAAAAGATGATGACGCACTAGGAAAAAAAAGCTCAACAGACTCTTTAAGCAGCCTACTTTCAGCAGCCCCAGTGGCCTAATGGATAAGGCATTGGCCTCCTAAGCCAGGGATTGTGGGTTCGAGTCCCATCTGGGGTGACTACAATTTTTTTTTTCCTTCTCAAAATTGTTACGCCTTTAAACTATTATACCCAAGTGCTACCCACTTAATTTTCTTTTTAAACAAGAGTGCACTGTGCTTTTACTAGCTGTTGGGCTGCCGTTTCGCGAACCCGGACACTTTCCTTCCGGCCGCAGGCTCCACCAGGCTTTTGGGAAGTGGGTTAATGTGCTGGATATTGACAGCCCTTCTAAAAACCGCTTTAAAAATCTCTTCACGGCGTGTTCTACACCGAATCCACACCGATCCCCGCAGGCCCGCATCTTCAGAAACTCGGCCACTAGGCAGTCACGGAGTCTTGGGTGACCCTGCGCACGAGCTTCCTTCTCCCCGGCTTCCCTCCACCCTCGGTGACGCTCGGCTTTCTCCTGCAACCCCTCAATCCGTTCGGGAGCGCTCGGCTTTTGATTCCCGCGGCTGCGCCAATCCAGGAAGTGCGCGTCCCCCTAGCGGCCAATCGGTGGGTGCGCTGGGAGACGCTCCCGGCGAGGGGACAGAGGGCGTTAGAGGCGCGGGCGCCGCCAGGAGCCAGGTTCCGCGAGGGACGGAAAATGGCGGCCTTAGGGTCCCCGGCGCGCACCTTGCGAGGCCTCCTGCGCGAGCTGCGCTACCTGAACGCGGCCACCGGGCGACCCTATCGCGACACCGCAGCCTATCGGTACCTCGTGAAGGCTTTCCGTGCTCATCGGGTACGGAAGGCGCCCCGGGAGCGCCGCATCCCCGGAGAGGGGCACGGGGGGCTGGGCGGGGGCAAGGAGCGGCGACCTACGGCTGCCTCGGAGGCCGACCCGCCACCGAGCCGGCCCCCACCGCTGAAACGCGGCCGGGGGCGGGCCACTGTGGCGCGGGCTGCGGCGTGGCCTCGGGGACGCGGCCTCTGCGCGCGGGCGGCGGGGCGGGCGTCTCATTGGCCGCTTCTGTTGGGAGGCGCGGCCTTTGGGGTGTGCGCGGCGAGGGAAACGGAAGGGGCGGGGCCTCGAGGTCCCGGACTCGCGAGGCTGAGGCGGGAGGTGGCCAGTTCGAGGCCCTAAGGGCCATTTTCAAATCCCCGTCTCGAAATAAATAAATAAATAAATAATTTATTTATTTATTTATTTACTTATTTACTTATTGTCTCTCTGTTCCTCCGTCCGTCCTTTCTGTCCGTCTGTCCACCTGTCCGTCCATCTTCCTTCTCTGTCCCTCTGACGCCGTCTCCTCAAGCTGGAGGCTGGTCTGGAGTCCTGGGATAACACCACTCCCAGGTGACACATTTCTTTCCCTGTTTTTTATTAGTCACAGAGAAAGTAGCTCCAGCAGCAAGCTCTGTGCTGGCTTCAATAGTTAATTTTTAATATAACCACCACACTCCAAAACTGAAGTCAACAGTCATTACTACATATTATTTGTTGAAAGACTATCCTGAACCGAAAGAAAATTAGGAAAAGGGACTTAAACAATTTCTTTTAACCACATTTATAAGTGTCATTTTAAATGCTTGAAAGAGGTGGGTGTGGTGGCACATACCTGTAATACCAGCACTTGGGAGGCTGAGGCCTAAGGATTGTTTCTAGTTCAAGGCCAGCCTGAGCTGCATAGGGCGACCCTGTCTGGAAAAAAAACACGCTTGTCATGACCCTTTCTTTTTTTTTAAATTTTAATTCATTTTTTGTGGTACTGTAGATTGAACTCAGGACCCTGTGCTTGCCAGGCAAGCGCTTTTTCTACTGAGCTATCTCCTGGGCCCTAAAAAAAAAAACACACTTGAAAGGCATGAATTCTCCCTTAATGAAAAGAAGTTTCCTATTGGCAACAGAAAAATACTCAGCAATTATTTACCAAATGTTTTAAATGTAAATGCTGTATCAGGGTTTGCGTAGGAGCAGTACTGTCATTATAAAGACTGCTTTATGCTCAAGCTCAAGGTTATAGCACTTGCCTACAACAGGCTCAGCTCCATCTCTAGTCCTGCCCCGTGTGTGTGTGTGTGTGTGTGTGTGTGTGTGTGTGTTGCATAGACAGAGATAGATGAACAGTGTGATGTCTCTACAAATTAGGCATAGAATAACCCAGCTGGCACCTTACCCTTGCCCTAGTAGAAGTACTTCTGTAGCAGGTAGCGCTTGCCTGGCAAGCACAAGGGCCTGAGTTCAATCCCCAGTACTGGAAAAAAAAAAAAAAAAAAGGGAAAACTTCTGTAGCAGATAAATACAAGTATGTGGGAGGCCTGCCTTGAGAGAGATCTTCATGAAATGTACATTCCATATTGCCCTTAGCCCAGTAGAAGAGCTCCTTTCCTTTCCTCCCCCCACCCTTTTCTCTCTTTATTTATTTATTTTTTGTTTTGAGACAGGCTCTCACTATGTAGTTCAGGCTGACCTTGAACTCACTATGCTGCCCAGGTTGGTCTCGAACTGGCAGCCGTCTACCTGCCTCAACCTTGCCAGTCCTGGAATTGCAGGCATGCATCACCACACCTGGCAAGAGTTTCAGTTTTGAAATGGGGCAGCTGAGCTCTGGGATAGGAGGTGGTTGTATAAGAATAGCACACGAACCTCTATAATCCCAGCACTTTGGGAAGCTGAGGCAGGAAGATTGCAATTTCTATTCCAGCTGGTGCACCCAGCTTAAAGAAGAAAACAGAGGGGCCCGGGAGATGGCTCAGTAGAATAAGCGCTTTCCTGGCAAGTGCAAGGGTCTGAGTTCAATCCCTGGTTCTGCCAAAAAAAGAAAACAAAACAACTAGAATTTGGGTGATTTGGTTCCTAAACAGGATCTTTATTGATCTGTTCTTCAGGATTAAGGATTCATCTTGGGGGAAGTTGCAACCATGTCTTTTCGTTTTTCTTTTTCTTTTTCTTTCTTTTTTTTTTTTTTTTTTTTGTATAGGGTCTACAGGGTCTCACTATGTAGATCAGACTCGTACTGGTCCTCCTGTGTTCAGGCTCCCAAGAGCTGGGATTATAGGCGCACACCACCAAGCCCAGTCTCAATCAGGGTCTCAGCATTCCTCTGGGGAGGGGCCAGCATGGCACGCTGGTGATCGAACTCCAGTTGCTGGGGATTGAATGGATTGAACCCTGACTGCTGTATCTGCCTGAGCAGGCACTTTAATCCACTGAGCTAAGGGCCAAGGAGATGGCTCAGTAGAATAAGCACTTGCCAGGCGCAAGAGCCTGAGTTCAATCCCTGGTTCTGCCAATATCAATCAATCAATCAATCAATCCACTGAGCTATTTGACTTAGCTTATATTTTATTGGAGTTGAGGGCAGCTCTTTCCTTGTGCACTCAGCTTCTCTCTTGTGTCCTGCCAGGCAGCTCTTTCTCTGGTCTCTTGGTGCAAGTTTCAAGACCATTTGGTGCGTTTCTTTATTTTTTTCCCTACCCCTGTTTTAGCCTGCTTCCCAGGGGGATCTCTCTAGTGAAGTATTTTGAACTCCTACTCAGGGTTGGCTAGAAGACCTAAGAAGGACTGTCCCATTTTCTCTCTACAGACTCCTGCCTCTGTGAGCACATAGCCCCACTGTTTCCAGCCCTTTCTCAGGTGGCAACAACCTCAACACTCAAAACTAGTGAAGTAAAGCACAGTGGGTCAGGATTTTTGTTGTTGTTGTTTGTTTGTCTTTTTGAGGCAGAGTTTCCATATTCAGTTCAAGCTGGCCTTGAACTCACTTTGTAGCTTAGCCTGATCTCAACTCACAATGATCTTCCTGCCTGGCCTCCTGAGTGCTGGGATTATAGATTTGTGTCACCCTGCCTGGCTCAAATCTTAAAATTAAGTGTGTTGAAAAGATTTTGTCATATGTGCTTTGGAATGGATACAATGTCAAACTTTGTAGTCCTTTTTTTTTTTGGCAGAACCAGGGATTGACCTCAGGCCCTTGTGCTTGCCAGGCAAGTGCTTATTCTACTGAGCCATCTCCCCGGCCCCCAACTTTTTAGTAAGTTGTTAGAATTGTAGATTTTCAAAATGGGTAAATTGTTTTTATTTGTTTGTTTGTTTGGTTTTTGGGGTTTTTTTTTTCCCATAATTTTATTGAGAAACAAATAGCAATGAGACAGTTTCAAACCAAATTGGTAGGACAGTTTCAATAATTAACACATAAAATGGGTAAATTGTTAATAGCATTTAAGTTGTATGAACAAATGCATATTTTTTTGTTTATAAAACCTTTTTTTTTTTCATTTTGTGGGGTTTTTGTTTGTTTGTTTGTTTGTTTTAGGGAAGGGTCTACAGGGTGTTCAGGGTCTCACTACCAGATCGGACTCCTAATGATCCGCCAGTTTACAGCCACCCAAGAGCTGGGATTACAGGCACACGCTACCACATCCAGTCTCAGTTGCCATCTCAGCACACCCCAGGAGTGGGGCCAGGGAGCAAGTCGGCATGGCAGGCCTGGGGATCGAATCCCTGGCCCCTGCGCCTGCTTGCAGGCGCTTTAATCCGCTGAGCTATTTGGCCGGCTCTACCCTTAATTTTTGAAGGGGGAATATTCTATTTTATACTCCTCAGATTACATTAATGATAAGTGACCTGATTATAGTTCTAGTCACTACCGTTAACTAGCTAATAGATTTAGTTTTCTGATATGTAAAATGAAGGTGTTAAAGCCTCCTTAGTACTAAAATTTAGAGATAGTCAATGAAATCTGATTAAAAGTATAATTTAGTAGGAGATAGCTCAGCAGCTTCCATGCCTGCCTGGCAAGTGCAAGGTCCTAAATTCAATCCCTGGTACCAAAAAAAGAGAAGAAAAGTAACTGAAACTAAAGGCAGGAGGATTCCATGAATGTAGGAGCTCAGTGCCAGCCTAGGTAACAGCAGGACTCCATGTCCAAAAAACCTGGTTGTAGTTAGTGGAACATGCCTGTAACCCTAGCATTTTGGAAGACTAAGGCTGGATGATGGCAGATTTGAGCGCAGCCTGGGCAATTTAGACACTTACTGAGACCATGTCTCAAAATAAAATTGAGCTGGGGATATGTCTCAGTGGAATAAGCACTTCCTTGGCAAGCGCAAGGGCCTGAGTTCAATCCCCGGTTCCACAAAAAAATCGACTCAAAATAAAATTGAAAAAGGACTAGGGATTGAAAAAGTAGCTTAGGGTGAAAGTTTAGGGTTTGATCCAAGTATCAACAAAAATTGTCTTTGAGACTGAGGCTGTGGTTCAGTGATACTATTGCTCTTAGCAAGAACAAACTAGGCTCAATCTCTAGCATTAACAAACGAAATTTCTTTTCTTTTTCTTTTTTTTTTTTTTTT